AGTAAGTGAATACTACTGGGTACATACTTCTGACAACCCTGTGTAAGTGAATACTACTGGGTACATACTTCTGACACCCCTAAGTAAGTGAATACTACTGGGTAAATACTTCTGACACCCCTAAGTAAGTGAATACCACTGGGTAAATACTTCTGACAACCCTGTGTAAGTGAATACTACTGGGTACATACCCCTGATACCCTTAAGTAACACAAGATACATACTCCTGACTATCCTAAGTAAGTGAATACTACTGGGTACATACTTCTGACAACCCTGTGTAAGTGAATACTACGGGGTACACACTTCTGACACCCCTAAGTAAGTGAATACTACTGGGTACATACTTCTGACAACCCTGTGTAAGTGAATACTACTAGGTACATACCCCTGATACCCTTAAGTAACACAAGATACATACTTCTGACATCACTGATTAAGTAACACAAGATACATACTTCTGACATCACTGATTAAGTAACACAAGATACATACCCCTGATTCCCTTAAGTAACACAAGGTACATACTCCTGACTACCCTTAAGTTACACAAGGTACATACCTCTGATACCCTTAAGTTCCACAAGATACATACTCCTGACTACCCTTAAGTTACACAAGGTACATACCTCTGATACCCTTAAGTTACACAAGGTACATACTCCTGACTACCCTTAAGTTACACAAGGTACATACCTCTGATACCCTTAAGTTACACAAGGTACATACTCCTGATACCCTTAAGTTACGCAAGATACATACTCCTGATACCCTTAAGTTACACAAGGTACATACTCCTGACTACCCTAAGTAAGTGAATACTACTGGGTACATACTCCTGACTACCCTAAGTAAGTGAATACTACTGGGTACATACTCCTGACTACCCTTAGTAAGTGAGTACTACTGGGTACATACTCCTGACTACCCTAAGTAAGTGAATACTACTGGGTACATACTCCTGATACCCTTAGTAAGTGAATACTACTGGGTACATACTCCTGACTACCCTAAGTAAGTGAATACTTCTGGGTACATACTCCTGACTACCCTAAGTAAGTGAATACGACTGGGTACATACTTCTGACTACCCTTAGTAAGTGAATACTACTGGGTACATACTTCTGATACTCCTAAGGTTTGTACCAACTCCTGTAAGTTCTGTGTAATGAGTTCAGCACAGAGTGCTATGAGAGTGGCACTGAGCAGAAGAATGAAAAAGCTCTTTATCCTTGACCAGGAGGGGCTACCATGGTTGTGATCTAAAAACAAACAGAAAGTAAAACTAAATGATTAAGAATTTACGTCATGGGAAACATCCTTTATATTTTATACTTACATTGATCTGCATGATTACTTGAAAATGACCTCAGCTATTTAATAGTTATTGATAAAGGTTTTTAAAAAGTATAAAAAAATCAAGGTTTTCAAAAAGTACAAAAAATAAAGTGTAGAGAACCTACATGTCCTGATACATTGTTACAACTGGCCCTTGGTTCTACCTCCCCAGCAACAGGTTTTTGTTACAGTTCACCATTATTTTTATCCATTACAACAGTTAGACAGTTGACTATTTCTTGACAAATTTAGGATGCGTTGTTATCATTGTGTTTGACTTAAAAACCACCAGCTGACAGTGCTGGCACTAAGCATCAAGCTAGACATTGACTATAAATCCTACTTTTATGGTGGTCCCCCTCGACCGCTAGATCACTATGGTGGTCAGTCTGGTAGATGCTGGCAGAATGTGTTTTTAGAGCAAATACCATCCCTATGAGGTAGGCTATTGGAAGTAACACTGAGCAGGCATACACCAGCGGCATCACATGGTTACGGTAGAGTGTGGAGTCACCGTCCAAACCCGCCTGTAAGGGGAGATAATTATAAAGCATCACATGTTTAAGGTAAAGTGTGGAGTCACCATCTAAACCTGCCTGTTAGGGGAGATAATTATGAATAAAACAAACCTACACCAATGGTATCACACAGTCAACATATAACCCTGTTTGTAGCACTAGTGGACATCATTTGATATCAGTAGTGTGGAAGTCTTTGTTAGGGGGGCTGATAACCCCACATATATAACCAAAATCATCACAAGCCATCACATGGTTACGGAAGAGTGACTGGAGAGTGACAGATCATTGACTAAACCTGCTTGTCAGGGGAGATAATCATTCATAAACCGAACATACACAAGAGAGTCAATGTCAAACTCTTTCTATCTGAGGGAAATCATATATAAACAGGTATATACAGGGGCAAGTCATGGATTCAACATACCACAGAGCTCTGACACTGGGTGCAGTGGAGGGAGTAACTGGAGTTAGATGGGTTGACGGAGGTGTTCCCATTAGGCATGACATACACATTGTCACAGCTCTTGCACTGCATGTCTCCAAAGATCTTTGCAAACATAGTTGGAGCATACACACCTGAGAAAAATTACAACATCAATACATGTATACGTAAACACACAAGATCATTTTTTTTTAATATTTCATATTTTCTCTACAATGTTTATATAGCTATACCTTTTATAACCTTGTACATATAGTAACCTCATACATCTAGTAACCTCGTACATATAGTAACCTCGTACATATGATAACCACGTACGTATAGTAACCTCGTACGTATAGTGACCTCGTACATATAGTGACCTCGTACATATAGTAACCTCGGACATATAGTGACCTCGTACATATAGTGACCTCGTACATATAGTGACCTCCTACATATAGTGACCTCGTACGTATAGTGACCTCGTACGTATAGTGACCTCGTACATATAGTGACCTCGTACATATAGTAACCTCGGACATATAATAACCTCGTACATATGATAACCACGTACATATAGTAACCTCGTACGTATAGTGACCTCGTACATATAGTGACCTTGTACATTTAGTGACCTCGTACATATAGTGACCTCGTACATAAAGTGACCTTGTACGTATAGTGACCTCGTACATATAGTGACCTTGTACATATATTAACCTCGTACGTATAGTGACCTCGTACATATAGTGACCTCGTACATATAGTAACCTCGTACATATAGTAATCTCGTACATATAGTAACCTCATACATATAGTAACCTGGTACATATAGTAGCCTCGTACATATAGTACCCTCGTACATATAGTAATCTCGTACATATAGTAGCCTCGTACATATAGTAACCTCATACATATAGTAACCTGGTACATATAGTAGCCTCGTACATATAGTACCCTCGTACATATAGTAATCTCGTACATATAGTAGCCTCGTACATATAGTATCCTCGTACATATAGTAACCTTGTACATATAGTAACCACGTACATATAGTAACCTTGTACATATATTAACCTCTTACATATAGAGACCTCGTACATATAGTGACCTTGTACATATAGTAACCTCGAACATATAGTAACCTTGTACATATAGTAACCTCGCACATATAGTAACCTTGTACATATAGTAACCTCGCACATATAGTAACCTTGTACATATAGTAACCTCGTCCATATAGTAACCTTGTACATATAGTAACCTCGTCCATATAGTAACCTTGTACATATAGTAACCTCGTCCATATAGTAACCTTGTACATATAGTAACCTCGTACATGTAGTAACCTTGTACATATAGCAGCCTCGTACATAAAGTAACCTCTTACATATAGTAACCTTGTACATATAGTAACCTTGTGCATATTGTAACCTCGTACATATAGTAACCTTGTACATATAGTAACCTTGTGCATATTGTAACCTCGTACATATAGTAACCTTGTACATATAGTAACCTCGTACATTTAGTAACTTGCTTCTTAATATAGCTACCCTGTTTATATGTTATAACTATTCTGATTAACTTGAAGTGTACATGATCCCAATGACGTCGGTTTCTACTGTACCTCCAACAGCTACAAACATCAGGAGAGCTGTCACGTTAGCAGCCCGAGGGTTGAACCTTTGGGAGTGGTACTTGACATATAGTGACCTCGTACATATAGTGACCTTGTACGTATAGTGACCTCGTACATATAGTGACCTTGTACATATAGTAACCTCGTACATATAGTAAGCTTGTGCATATAGTAACCTCGTACATATAGGAACCTTGTACATATAGTAACCTTGTGCATATAGTAACCTCGTACATATAGTAGCCTCGTACATATAGTAGCCTCGTACATATAGTAACCTCGTACATATAGTAATCTCGTACATATAGTAACCTCATACATATAGTAACCTGGTACATATAGTAGCCTCGTACATATAGTAACCTTGTACATATAGTAATCTCGTACATATAGTAACCTCGTACATATAGTAATCTCGTACATATAGTAGCCTCGTACATATAGTATCCTCGTACATATAGTAACCTTGTACATATAGTAATCTCGTACATATAGTAACCTCATACATATAGTAATCTCGTACATATAGTAACCTCATACATATAGTAATCTCGTACATATAGTAACCTCATACATATAGTAATCTCGTACATATAGTAACCTCATACATATAGTAACCTGGTACATATAGTAGCCTCGTACATATAGTAACCTCATACATATAGTAATCTCGTACATATAGTAACCTCGTACATATAGTAATCTCGTACATATAGTAACCTCATACATATAGTAACCTGGTACATATAGTAGCCTCGTACATATAGTAACCTCGTACATATAGTAACCTTGTACATATATTAACCTCTTACATATAGAGACCTCGTACATATAGTGACCTTGTACATATAGTAACCTCGAACATATAGTAACCTTGTACATATAGTAACCTCGTACATATAGTAACTTGCTTCTTAATATAGCTACCCTGTTTATATGTTATAACTATTCTGATTAACTTGAAGTGTACATGATCCCAATGACGTCGGTTTCTACTGTACCTCCAACAGCTACAAACATCAGGAGAGCTGTCACGTTAGCAGCCCGAGGGTTGAACCTTTGGGAGTGGTACTTGATTCCTCCAATAACCATACAGATACCCTACAACAAAGTTTGTCTCACCTTAAACAATACAATAAATGTTGATTCACATAACCAGTCCTAAAAGGTGTAGTCATTAAATATGACAGAAGATTTTCCAGGGATTCCATTTTCAAATTTTTTTATTTTTTTTTAACATCAAATGATTTCCTCATGATCTCTTTGTCTCAATACAGCATAAGAAAACTTTCAAAGACTGTCATTATTTCAGGTATTAACACTTTCACCCCTAGGTAACTTTAGTGAACTCTCCCATGCAGTTATTGGGATGAATCCATTATGGTCTATAGTGGTGAAATGGTTAATACAATAATCTCAATTATTTCACCCTACTGAAACTTATGTATGGCCCATTTTGCTCAGATGGAATCTTTCATATTTGATCTTATATGTACAACGTAATATATTAATGCAATTATTAACCTCATTTGAGTTTAATAAAACAATTTATTAACCCTCAAAACATTACATTTTCTTTGACCTTCAGCTTCTGTAAACATAATAACCTTCTAGTTTATTAATCAATGTATTGACCTCAACAGAGATTAATAATTGTATGATGATATACCAATTCATGGAAAGCATATACATACACATCATGTACATCCATGCATTTGAAATATATATTGAGGTAAATTTATATCCATTCTCAACTGAACAAGTACATGTAGCGCCACTAAAATATTGAAAAGGGACAAATTAAATAGGAGGACATTTTTTATGTATAGGAATCCTGTGTAGACTATTAAGGGTAATCAATGATAATATAACCCCATCATTATATCATCAATTCTAACACGATTCGTTTGCAACGCATGTTTTGATTGGATACGGACCATGTTCTTATCTGCGATAGAATCATGATCAATCGTGTTAAGCTCCTCCCATCGCACTTAAGCCACGCCCCGTTTCTAACCAAAACAATATGGTGTCAAGCTCGCCTCTTAGCGAAATCCTGCTGATAAGGCTAGTAGGCAACAGAACAAAACGACCGATGAAATGCATTTGTTGAATGAATTAAAAAGTAAAAAGTACACATTCCTTGTTCTTACCTCCATTTATTACTGAAACGTTCGTTCCATCCGTGAGAAGGCATCTACTTAGATCCGAAATCAAATAAAACATTTCACATGTGTCGTATGCCTTTAATGATTTATACAAAACTATTCACAAATCTACAAATGATCACCGATATTCCGATTTTGTCGATAAGCACAGATTGGTATGCATACTGACATGGAAATATAAGGACTTGGTCAATACTAATACAAATGTGTCGTATAAACTTTGGAAACAGGACGTTCACGAACAATCCAAATATTCCGCCTCGTCAACATACAGATCGAGCTCTCGCCAGTATGGGCGGGGCCAAATGACCGACAATTGAAAGCTTCTTTCCGATTGGTCAGTCCGCTTCAGAATGACACGTTGCAAGTTCAGGTCACAAAGTATTTTACTACGTACTTTTGTAAAAGGAAATACAATGTTTCTAAACATATTAGCGTAGTATATTTGTTAAGGTGTGTTAGAATGGGGAGAGTACGTTATTTTTCGCGTCTATACTGGCGAAATCCTGCTGATAAGGCTATTGGTCTCGAGTTCAAACCTAAATTTCATGTTCTAATCGCCAGTATAGCCACTCAAAACAGCGTACTATCCCCTAAATTATATCTGGCATAATATTGATAGAAAATGTTTCTCTAGGTTTTAACATATCCCTACTCACCGGTATAAAGAGCAGACTGCCAACTATTGAACCTGAAATGGAAAGATATGAAATTTAATATATTATTTACTAACAGATTTTTCAAAAGGATCAGGGCCTGTATTCAATGAAACTGTTCTCATGCTCAAGCATGGGTTCTGTGCTCAAACAAACTTTCATGTAACTGGCTTAAATCATGTCAAACGACCTGTAAGTCAAATATAAACATTGAAAACAGTTTTGGGTTTGAAGTTTTTTCAATGTTTTCCCCAAATCATTGACAAAATAAGATTTGTTTATTAATTTATAACGGGAACAAGAAATTCAGCTTGAGTGCAAAATCCATGATTAGCATGAAAATGGTTTCATGAATACGCCCCCAGGACTCCACTGATGTTCCTTCATTCTTGATGTCCAGGGGTAACGCTCACTTTTGCTCTCTACACCCCTGGAATATGTCATAGCAAAATTAAAGGCTCGGTGTGCTCCGCCTTGTGGACGAGACGAGAAGACTTGTTTGATCCTTTGATGTACATCAAAAGAATCTCATGGTCGTTTAACCGTAAAACTTACTGGCCTTGAAGTCGGGCGTCGTTCCTCTGTAATCTCCAGAGAACATGCATCAGCCTAGTGATTGGTCAGGTTTTTTTTTACCTGTCACCAATCAAAAAGCTAACCGCATGCCTTCAATTTTGCTATGATATATTCCAGGGGTGTAGAGATTGAAAGTGAGCGTAACCCCTGGATATCGAGGATGATGTTCTGTATGTCACTAAACAAAAAGTAAATCATATCAACCAAATGAGGATATGTAACTTGATCTAATTACCGAAAGATTCTGAATTTTTAATTGAAAGTTTTTGATAGATGTGAATCTAGTGATGTTGAATTGGTTAAGGTCCTTAATTAATTCAACAACTTGTATCATAGCCTACACCACAACAATCTATAGACCAAATGTCATTGTTGTTCATGTAGGTATCATCGTTAGATAAAATAATTTCATGAAAACTTTCATCTTTTTAACAACTTCAGACCAGTTATACCTGACCTGTTAGCTTTTCCTGTGAGAAGGAACTTGAACTGACCAGTTCTATCTGAACATTGAATTTTACATGTGATAGAAGATTTGACCAGTTCTTATTGACCATTGAGCCTCACCTGTGAGAGAAGATTTGACCAGTTCAGCATAACAATCAGACCCAGTCTCACTTCCCTTGGAGAGAGCCAGGACAAAAATGATTATTTCTACGATAGACCCAAAGGTGGCATTCAGGACAGCCCCCACTGCAAAGTTACTCTGGGCAGAAATACTGAAAACAAAAACAATGAGATGACTTAAATTGATGATAATTTTCCGCATGACTTAATTATTTTTGTATAATAATCAGATTTCTAAATAAAAGAATTTTCAATACACTTTTGAATTATTATATTCATGTAGTTACTGTAATATAAACAATTCTTTTTCCAAACTATTTACAACTCATAATTGTCGATTGTAGCATGATTTATGTTTTCATTTTCATTATTATAATATCACTTGTCATCATTATATTATTTTTCTTTATTCTTCAGTTTCCCATTTTAGACACATGTACAGAATAATTGGCTTTTATGTACTGATAAAAGGAAGTTAATTTTAAGTTCTGCTTGATCACAGATAGAACTAGTTAAGTGTTTATGTTTCCCCCTACCTGATTATGGCCAGACCTATGTAGTAGGTCAATGGTATGATGGCACAAACTCCCAAAATACATTTCTGAAACAGACAACATTTCACGGTTCATCCTTGGTAAACAGACAGGTGTGGCATATATTTCCTTGTAACTGCTACATTTGTGGCTATTTGCTGCGTGTTAGTTCCCCCTCTTATCAAGGTGATCAAACAAGTAAATGTAAAATAACAGATTCAGTGCAATTACTTTTTACTATGAATTACATGTATAATCAAAAAAATTCTTCAGTTTACCTTTTGCCCTTCTCGGTATAGTATAGTAGTTTCAATAGGAAAAGAGAAAATCAACACTGGGATAATACAGATTTTAATACTAAAAGGCAGATATTTCACCTTGGTGGAAGATTTACCTGAATTATATATACCTGGATGATTTCCCTGAAACTCACTGTAATTACTGTAAGACCGAGAATATCGCATAGAAAAAATGAACATGGAATGTTCTTTTCCAGTACTTGAAGGCAATTTGAATATAAAATGTTTCCATGCTTTCCATTTAAAATTAGTGTTGTTAGAGCGGGAATAAGCACGGGCAGGCAGGGTTTTGAACCCAGAACCTTCCGAACTCTACCAATGGAGCTACCTGACTCAGTCCAGTTCTGCTACATTCCTTCCTCCTGTAACTAAGCCATAGACCCCAAAGACACACGAGACCCTATACCATCCACCGTAGGTATTTTTCGTTGGGCATCAAATGTAACAGGAGAGGAAAAACGCAACGTCCAGACCTAGATTCAAACCCCGGACCCTCCGAACTCTAGACAGATGGTCTACCGATTGAGTTACCTGGTCGTTGGTGATCAACCCAGTCCAGTTCCACTACAATAGCATCACCTTCAGTGCCTACATAGAATCAACAGTACTCCACCACTACTTACCGTGATCCCAGTGGTTATCTTATTATCTGGGTCAGTGTATCCCAAAGCCAGGGCGAGAATTACAAACACCAGTAAATCTGGAGGGTATGTTAAGGGTGACAGACTGGTCACTGAAGCATGAAGCAGTATCATACACACTGACCTACTGAAGTCCAGTCTCCTTCTATTGTAGATTACAAAAATCATGGCCATTTGTACATTGGTGATTATACGTTTAACCTTTTTTTTATCATTCTTAATGACAAAATGTGAGGAATGTTCTCAGATACCTCATTATCACCTATTAACATGTTAACTGAAGATCCTCAAATTTAACTATGCATTACCATACCCTGTCCCACCTCCAATCATGAAACCTTCTCTTACATTTAATACAAGAATTCAGTAAAACATGGTTAAAAGGACTTTAACACTCCCCTGGCTTAACTCAGTAAGTACAAACATATCATCTCATCCCTATCTTCTTTCTCTTTATAATATTTTAGATAACTCTAAAGCGAAGCCTGGTTCTTCAGCACATGTCCAGTTTCCCTCAGAGAATTGCACTTTCTTTATATTCTGCTTTCAAAGCTTCTTCTGAGATGACTGCAGTGTTGATATCTAGTTAGAAATTACAGTTGAGAATACAGGACTGCAGTACAGAATTACAGGATTACTGTAGAGAGTTACAGGATTACAGTAATTACAATAAGGATACTGAAGAGGATGATGTTCATGCCGTCTACACTGTATTTGTAGTAGTAAAGATACACGGACTGGTGGGTATACATAAGGATCTCGCTGTCCTGGTGCTGCTCTTTCTGTAATCAATGTATTAGTAAACTTTTAACAGGTCTATTGATTAGTCTTACACTGTCTTGTGTTCCTCTGTAATCAATGTATTAGTAAACTTTTAACAGGTCTATTGATTAAGTCACTGTCTTGTGTTCCTCTGTAATCAATGTATTAGTAAACTTTTAACAGGTCTATTGATTAAGTCACTGTCTTGTGTTCCTCTGTAATCAATGTATTAGTTAACTTTTAACAGGTCTATTGATTAAGTCACTGTCTTGTGTTCCTCTGTAATCAATGTATTAGTTAACTTTTAACAGGTCTATTGATTAATAAGTCACTGTCTTGTGTACCTCTGTAATCAATGTCATTGTAAGCAAACTTTTACAAGGTTTAGTATGCAACTGTTATAAGTATATATTTACATCTCTCCCTTCTTCAGCTTAATAAACTCTGACTACATACATAAATAAGGGTATACACAGTGAAAAAAGTATGTTTGTTGCCAACTAAGCTCTTACATGTACTACCATATATGTCATCAAAATGAAGTTCAATCCTTATATGACACATTACATAATTATATCTAAGATTTATGATAAAGTAACCTCTGAAATGAAACTAAAATTTAGAGTTAGGCTACCTTACAACTCAGAAATAATGCATTTTTTATATTTAATTTAGTCTTTCAATGCGTCAGATATAACAGTTTTTTTGCATGCAATCTTTGGACAGATATGTCTCAATTGACTATAGCCAACTTTGTTGAACTACAAACATCTACTACACTGATATCTATATCTTAAAGCTTGATAAATCAAAAAGATTTGGGTATCTGATACTGTCATTGTAAAAGTTAACTATAAATGTATATAACACATACCACATAGCTGTAGTCTGCTACTTTTAACTTCTGTGGGGGCATGAACAGTATCTGGGTGATGGCTTTAAAGTTTAGCTGGAAATAAAACACACTATAAGTTACACAATAATACGTTGACGTTAATACCTGGTCATGTTTCAGCATTTATTGTCAGCATGTTTAGCAGATTTTACATTTTCAATAGGTCTTCTTATAGATTTACAGGGGTCTTGACTAAACACTTTTTACATTTTTTTGGTATGTATATTTTCTTCCAGCCAATCAAGCATACCTTCATTGTACAAATTTTCTGTTAAGAACAAACAGCATTTTTATAGTTACATAAAGCTCTTTATAAATTGTAAGGAATGTTTTCAACTGTTCCTTTGCTCATTATCAGTGAAACAGTTAATGTTTTCCTTCTGATTGTTCAATAATTTCATACAATCTTTCAGATTGTTATTCCAGGCTTGTTAGTCAGGTAAGAAGTGATTTGTTTGAAAATGTCAAAACTGGTTGCTCCTCATTGTTTTGAAGACCTGGAGAACCATTACACTTGACCTTAAGCAGACAGAGACAACATTTCCCCAGATCTGTCCCAGCATCAGGGGACAGCAGCTTAGGATATGGAACAACTCTCAGTGTATCAGTGTGAAAACATTTTGATTACATTCAAATCATAAGGTGTTCCATAAAAACAAATGTTAATCCAATTCCATTTAATCTTATTACAAAATAAATGAGTGTTAGTTTTATTTAATCTTTTTGCTTAAAATTTGTACTATTTGCCCATTTCTCAAAAATGCTTGACTGGATGAGGAGGTACACTGGTCTAGTCAACCACCTCCCTACAGCCTGCATAATACTTTCAGTACGAGTTATCTCCCCTGACCCACATCTTTGGGCCTGTTCATTATGCGGAAAAACTGGTTTGGATCCGTTTTAAATGTAACATTTTTGGGTATAAATCCTGACGGACCTGCAAATGTTTAGGCAGGCCTTGCCAAGCTTTGTCAAGGCTTACCTGAAAGCAGCATCAGATTACTGGGTCAGACCTTATTTAATAAACCAACAACTGTATGTGGTCCAACCGTCCAACTGTTCATAAACGAAACCGGCCCTGGTAAGCCTACATGGTGGTCAGTCATAATGTGTGAGCAGATATAAGTGTACACTTAGTACACAACAGAATTATTTTTGTGGTTAACCTAGATAATCTTACATCATATCTCCATATATTTAGTCTATAATCCATTGTAAGGCATAGACCGAATTATTTTTGTTTCAAAAGTTAAAATCATGCAGCCACAGAAACGAAATTATGATTTTAGTCACTGTCCTACAACTTGTGTAAAAAAAAGGTTTTCCGGCCAAGGAGGAAGAAGAAAAAACTCCCAGGATGTCTTTATTTCTGGAACAGCCCTAAGTAACATCATCAAAATGTATATTTACCTTAGCAACGGGCATGGAGACAACAAACAGCCAGGTGAAAAACATGATGATGAAATGAGCTACAACCAGAACAGGAACACCTAGCACCAACCACAGGTACGACACTGGTGACTTCTGTAGGTAAAATAAATGCAGGTATTAGATCTGTGTGTTGATTTATAATAGAAATACAGACATACATCTTCTTATGTTTTCTATGCCTAGTGTTCCAGTGTATATAATGCTGAACCAGAAGACCTTTCTTTTCTGTTTACTACTTTCCCAACTCATAATTTCCAACTGTATCAGATCTTAGATCATTACAAATAACATATTACATTATTTCCAGTATTATTAGTTTTAGACAATCAGGACCCTGATAGCTAAATACCGTTTAGACAGATCAGACTCTGGCAGCTAGTGTTGTTTATTAGCCTGACAGTGTATATCAGAGTCAGAGTCTCCTATCTGACACTAATTAACACAGCTAGCCACCCACAACCTCAGAGTCTCCTATCTGACACTAACACAGTTAGCCACCCACAACCTCAGAGTCTATGTATTCAGTCACAAACAAATCTAGGCTTCACTACATGTAGCTATAGGTAGGACCTGCTGACAATTGGCTAGCCATCTATTCTTAAACATTGGTTGACTGTGCTTCCTCTACATTAAAATATCTGCATCACTCTATCCTGCTACACAAGGCCCTTTCCTCTCAATTCTCAATGTCATCACTATGCTACCATATTTATCCTGCAATAAGTCCATGAGGTCAACAGACACAACACATAACCTTCAATTCAAGTTAGGGGGTGGGCTTATCACAGGATAGATATTGTTCTTACAAAGAAGACCAGGCGTGATGTATGGTGTCTGAGGGAAGGGACCGTCCCCTCTAGAAGTCCCGTCCTCTCACCACCCTCGCTTTCAGTATACGTCTTCAAACCAGGACTACAGGTTCTCTTCACTGTAGGATGAACCTTCAATTAGTGATTAAAAAATAATAAAGAATTACCTCTGTATAAATTTATGAGAGATAGACCTTTAGAATTGCGATGAAATTTGAAAATGTATATCATCAAATTCAATTTTCTGGTCAACATTACTAGTAATTTCTAATTATTTCATTAAAAGCACATCACTCATTGCCACAATAAAACTATGCATCCCACCCCTCATTTCTTTAATACAATACATATTAGTACATGTAAAACGATACGTGCACAATATCAAAAATATGTTATTCAGTTATAAGAAATACAATGATGGAAGAATGCATACAAAACTTTTACACTTAATGTTATAACACAGGTTTACTTTATACAGCCATACAGACCTCATTGAGGGTCTGTTTTGTACCAGTTTTAGGATCTTATATACATGTATAAACTATTAATATTGACCAGGTCACAAACTATTCATACTGACCAGGTGAACAAACTTGCCAAATGGCCATAGGAAATATCTGGCCAGTGTCCAGCAGTACACACCTGATGAACACAGAGGATGCAGACTTTAATATCTGTACAAGTCAAACAAAACTTTTAACAATGTTCAATATATAACTCGGTCCACAATTTCAAATATTTTGAAAGTAAAAAGTAACTGTACCAAAAAAATTTCCCTTCTGCAGGCAATAAAACAGGGAGTATAATACATTTTACAAATAAATGTCGATTCATATATCCCTTTTCACTATTATGTTTAATGACTGGTACATTATTATGAATATAAACTTTATTTCATTTTTTCATGTTTTCATTTACAGTATGATGTAAAGCAATACACAATTGTTAAAATTGGATTTGGAAACAAGTTTTACAACTTATGTAGATCCATCTCCAGGATTATTATTATACGGACAGGTACCTACCATAATTCCAGCCCACAAGGGTGATAAACATAAGACAGCCAACTATTAGATACAGCAAGGCCATCCACCATCCAAACAGCAATACATACAGTATGTTAGAGGGACGTGCCGTCGACACTGTCAAACATAGAGTAAGTTAGCTATAGATAGACATTATATCATACACAGTGACACTCAAGTATACAATCAGCCAGAGGGAAGCATTCTTAATATTGTAACACAAAGTGTAAGTCTATGGGAAATCGTCTTTAGGTGTGATACCTCTCATGGAAATCTATGGGAAATCAATCCTTAGGTAGAATATCTAACATGGAAATCTATGGGAAATTAATCCTTAGGTAGGATATCTAACATGGAAGTCTATGGGAAATCAATCCTTAGGTAGAATATCTAACATGGAAATCTATGGGAAATTAATCTTTATGTAGGATATCTAACATTGAAGTCTATGGGAAATTAATCCCCAGGTAGGTAGGATATTTAGTATGGATGGAAGTCTATGGGAAATCAATCCTTAGGAAGGATACTTAACATGGAAGTCTATGGGAAATTAATCTTTATGTAGGATATCTAACATTGAAGTCTATGGGAAATTAATCCTTAGGTAGGATATCTAACATGGAAGTCTATGGGAAATAAATCTTTATGTAGGATATCTTACATTGATGTCTATGGGAAATTAATCCTTAGGTAGGATATCTAACATTGAAGTCTATGGGAAATGAATCCTTAGGTAGGTAGGATACTAAACACAGACGTTTATGGGAAGTTAATCTTTTAGGTATATGATTCCTTACCAGCACTGACACAATGCAATGCCTAAATCAGACTAAAGATACACACCATCCTTCTAAACAGACAGAATTATTATTGCATTTGCAAAAAACAATACATTTAGTAGATCATGACAAGTAAGTACTAAGATTAATGTGATAATGATGAACCACCTCTACAGGGGTAAAGGTCATTTGCTCTTGATCATCTGGTAATTTTCTAACACCACAATAACTAAAAGATTAGCAAGAATGGTATTTCTGGTCTGAAGATCACATTACATGTATTACAATCTGAATAGCATAACAGCAAAGATTCCTTTGCAGCAATAGTTCCTTTTTATCAATACGTGTACTAATAAACTGATCCTGGACATCAAGGGAGGTAATCACCGTTCACAGGTTTGATCTTGTCAAAGTCCTCGTAGAGATTCTGTACCACCTCTGATCGTGTATTTAAGGGTCTATCTGTCACATGACCTTTCCATTTCTTGAATCCAAACTGTAACAAACAATAGATCATTATGGTGAGGATAACATGGTTTCTGTCTTTCTGATAAAAATTCCCTGAATCACAAATTTTACAAATTAAAGAATAACCACTTCATCAATATATCCCTAGAGTATAATGTGTAGCATATATTTAATTCTCAATAAATAATAGTCCAAACTTATCATCTTGTTAATTTAAAGCAGTGATTTTTCTACTTGTGTTTTACAGGACCGTGTGCTTTGGGCAAAAATATCCCATAAAAATCATGATTTTGGAAAATATAACAGAAATAAACAGGGCCTTATATTGACCCCAAATTTACTTTAAAAAATCACGCAATTGTATATAAATTATAATTGATGTATCACTGTTAATTGTTTATAATCCCTGGAGAATACCCATAGTTTATCAGTCTATAAGAGCTTACCAAGTAGTTATTACTGATCTTATGAGCCTCCACATCACTATCAACTCCCTGTATGAAGGGGTCCTCCAGTATGTCTACAAAGCTGCTGAGCGACGTCACTTTGGGATCAGAGGAAAGGTCACCAGTTTGGTCAGTAGTATCTGAAGTCCGACCCCGGTTACGTAAACTTTGAGAGCTGACTCCAAAACTTGTTTCCCCATCTTGTCCTGGCAGATCCTGGGTTCCTGGTGATGCTCCTGTAGTTGGGGGCTTAGGGTTTTCTAATGACACATTAGTGTCCATCTCTTCTGGACAATATCTATATCATACTGGATAATCACAAAAATAATATTTTAACATGATATAATGTCAGAGTTACTTCCCTTACACTATGAAATGGTGTGTGTCAAAATGTTTTGCTTTAGGACATTATATTTACAGCTGAATGCATCTGCCTCTTAAATACAGCAGTGTTGGGTAACAAGATATATCAATCAGCTTTCAGCTGTTACAAATGTACAGGAGAATTAAATTTGTTTTGACACTGCCACATTATATGAATTAATGCTGATCAGATTACTGTTAAGGAGAAGATCAGTGTCTTTTGCAATGAAGTTTTGTAATGTTAACTACACATTTATACTTTCCTAGTAAGCCTGTGTTTGGCTGGGCAAACATATATATTTGTATTTGCATTCTATATTTTAAATTGAACAATTGTATGAATGCATCACATGTTTTACACGGAAATGAAAATTGAACTTGAACTATATTTTCTATTTAGTGCCCAGGCATTTCTAATTACAATCCCCACAAAACTCATCATCGTGGTGAAAAAGTTGAAGCCATTTTTCACCAAACAGTTATTTCTATTTGTTACATGGCATTTGACTGGAGTAAGCCAACTCATTCCCGGTAACTGTTAGTAAAGCGCTAGGATCTACTCGGTGATAATCCTCCAGATCTGTGTTGTGAAACTCAAGTGGTACAGCACTAAATTAAAAGAGACTGTTGGAAACACAACCCCATAGCAAAACATAACACAAAAATATCCTACAGTACACACAAAAGCATTGTAGGAATTTGACAATTGCAATCATCTGTATGAAAACCTTCAACTTCATCACTCTATCACCTGAGCTAAAGGGAAATTCCCTTACAAAAGTACATATCTGTAAAAGGCAACATGACCATACATGTGCAGATAAAAACTGCCACAGTTAAAGTACACTAATTACTGGTGAACTGTTTACAGTAGATAACATGTCTAATCAGTAGTTCTAGTAATTTGATACAGCTCAGTGCTGGTACACAGTAATACGCTGGTACGGTATCACAGTCATACGCTGGTACGGTATCACAGTAATACATTTCATACAAATGAAGCTAAACATTGCAGAGGTTTTTTGGCCTCTGGAACACTAGACTTTTGACTGAGTATATTTGGTTGTTCATATTTCTGACAGGCAATTTAAAATTCAATTTAACAATATATGGCATAAAATCAACAATTTCACATTAAAATGTGCATTACAAGAATTAAGTCATACCACTGGCTCATACATGTAATTATATAATGGAACATCAACTTATTTAATCAGGAGTAAGTCGTCCGCCCTGATGTCGTGAAACTTGCATTTAAGTATGGAAAGTCACTGTTTTACATTATTAAATATTTATGTAATTTAATGCATTGTACCACTACATATATACTTGTATATGCAATGTATTTATGGCAAAAAGACATTTGTGTCTATTGCTGAATAAAGATTATTATTTGTCAATGCACCCATAATATATTAGATATATATTAAAAGATGATGCTAGCATCTGTGTTTGAAGTTATCATCTGATCATAACCAGGTCCAGTACGTATACACTCTGCCGATTGAGCTATATAGCTATAAAGACCTATATAGCTATATACACCTATAAATTATAGCTGTATTGAGCTATATTTTCTCAGATTTCAAATTTCATTAAATTAAAGCAAAGTCGCATAAAACAATAAGGTTAATGGTAATGTCGACTACAAAAAGCATACAGTTAGAGGTTTATTTTCATTTTTCATAAATGTAAAATTTCCCGATTTCTTTACATCATTTTTTTTTAAAAAGAATACTTATATTTAATGTCTTTTGTTATCAACCTTCTTTTAAATGCGACTTTGTTCCGTTTTCCTTAAAAAAGAAAATCACGTGAAAATAGCTCAAAAGACCTATTTCAGATAGGTCAATAGAGCTATTATAGGTCTTTACAGCTATGTAGCTCAATCGGCAGAGTGTACTGGACCTGATAACAGTCTACAGTTAAACTATTTTAGAATGTGATAAAGTTGATGCAAGAAATGGTGTACATTGTATGACTGGTACCGTGACACAGTCTGTCATCGTACATTGTATGACTGGTACCGTGACACAGTCTGTCATCGTACATTGTATGACTGGTACCGTGGCACAGTCTGTCATCGTACATTGTATGACTGGTACCGTGGCACAGTCTGTCATCGTACATTGTATGACTGGTACCGTGGCACAGTCTGTCATCGTACATTGTATGACTGGTACCGTGGCACAGTCTGTCATCGTACATTGTATGACTGGTACCGTGGCACAGTCTGTCATCGTACATTGTATGACTGGTACCGTGGCACAGTCTGTCATCGTACATTGTATGACTGGTACCGTGGCACAGTCTGTCATCGTACATTGTATGACTGGTACCGTGGCACAGTCTGTCATCGTACATTGTATGACTGGTACCGTGGCACAGTCTGTCATCGTACATTGTATGACTGGTACCGTGGCACAGTCTGTCATCGTACATTGTATGACTGGTACCGTGGCACAGTCTGTCATCGTACATTGTATGACTGGTACCGTGGCACAGTCTGTCATCGTACATTGTATGACTGGTACCGTGGCACAGTCTGTCATCGTACATTGTATGACTGGTACCGTGGCACAGTCTGTCATCGTACATTGTATGACTGGTACCGTGGCACAGTCTGTCATCGTACATTGTATGACTGGTACCGTGGCACAGTCTGTCATCGTACATTGTATGACTGGTACCGTGGCACAGTCTGTCATCGTACATTGTATGACTGGTACCGTGGCACAGTCTGTCATCGTACATTGTATGACTGGTACCGTGGCACAGTCTGTCATCGTACATTGTATGACTGGTACCGTGGCACAGTCTGTCATCGTACATTGTATGACTGGTACCGTGGCACAGTCTGTCATCGTACATTGTATGACTGGTACCGTGGCACAGTCTGTCATCGTACATTGTATGACTGGTACCGTGGCACAGTCTGTCATCGTACATTGTATGACTGGTACCGTGGCACAGTCTGTCATCGTACATTGTATGACTGGTACCGTGGCACAGTCTGTCATCGTACATTGTATGACTGGTACCGTGGCACAGTCTGTCATCGTACATTGTATGACTGGTACCGTGGCACAGTCTGTCATCGTACATTGTATGACTGGTACCGTGGCACAGTCTGTCATCGTACATTGTATGACTGGTACCGTGGCACAGTCTGTCATCGTACATTGTATGACTGGTACCGTGGCACAGTCTGTCATCGTACATTGTATGACTGGTACCGTGGCACAGTCTGTCATCGTACATTGTATGACTGGTACCGTGGCACAGTCTGTCATCGTACATTGTATGACTGGTACCGTGGCACAGTCTGTCATCGTACATTGTATGACTGGTACCGTGGCACAGTCTGTCATCGTACATTGTATGACTGGTACCGTGGCACAGTCTGTCATCGTACATTGTATGACTGGTACCGTGGCACAGTCTGTCATCGTACATTGTATGACTGGTACCGTGGCACAGTCTGTCATCGTACATTGTATGACTGGTACCGTGGCACAGTCTGTCATCGCCATATTAAGTATGACATTTGAGACAAAACAGACTAAAAAATAGTTTATGTGTGATTCTACTGAGAACGGGAAAGTGTAACGTTGTCACAGCCCTGTGTGTTATGACAGATAAAATGACATTATACATGTTTCTAACATTTACCATAGGAGCCTGAAGTTCTGTCAATAATGAATAATAATAGTAATACAAAAAATACCTATAATATGCTAAATAAGCATATTATAGGTATTTTTTGTATTACTATTATTATTCATTATTGACAGAACTTCAGGCTCCTGTGCATTTACGTAGTCCGATAACTTAGTGGTTATTATATATTGATGGCGCCGAGCGTCAATGACAGTTTTTGTAAATATGTATACGTTACCTTTCTATCAATGTGTGCGCCATAAATACTCTCTGATCCTCGTGAATGTCACTGAATACACTTGTTACATATCCTCACCGACCACACATAAAATGTTGTTTTGGTACTCACGTGAGTTAAGGGAGGTCACTCTAATATTCCATGTAATGCTTTCCTCCAATCTAGTGGTTTAAAGCACTTGAAACAGAAGCAGTTTTTCCTTTTGCAATACAAGGAATGGTACATGTATCTATTCTTCATCCAAACCTATATATATTTGAGAAATCGGAAAAATGTATATGTCAGCATCTGTTATGTTGTTATTTACCTCTGATGAAAAATTCAAAAAAAGAAATTTAATTTTTAAATATCAAAAATATTGTTCAAATAGTTTAAAAAAGCAATTGAAATTTAGCAGAAAGTATCAAAGATAGGAAAACTTTTTCACGTATTTCTCAAACTTACTAATAGACAGATGTTTTAAGAAAATTCTCAGACTGGGGGGGGGTATTGCATGCGATAAATTGCATTAGGGGGTGTTGTATTGCATGCGTCAAATTCTTCTGTAAGCAATTTGCTTTGTAATTTGAACATCAGATGTGGTTATCTTGGACACATACACCTCTTCAACCTTGATGAATGAATAGCTCTACAGTTAGGAGGCCAAGATCCTCTCTTATTGGGAGATAACACTTTTAATATGTGTAGTATTTTTGATGTTGAATTTTGTTGTCAGTGGTAGTTATACCATGTCATTTTTAATTAAATGTATACTTGCAATTGATGCATTGACATAATTATACACATATATACCGGTAATATTTGACTTTTGATTTTATGGTCAGGCAGTTGTAAATATTTGTGTTTCCAAAATAGCACATGAAGTGTAAAATGCAATACAACACGGGCATGTGCTTATTAATACTTAATGCAACAGATGTGTTAAAAAAGGACTCAATAAATAATTTGAAACACTTTCCATACAGAAAATTGATCCCAGCAATTGCATGCAACTTATATATGATACATGTTAAGTTTTTGAATAACTAACATTTTTATTACAGAGTGACTGATAAATCAATGATAGTATGTTTGGAACCTTCCCAAACTAAGTCCTTTAATGACTTTAATAATGAATGCCTGAAATTATTCCTGCTTGCAATTTATATAAATACTATACATACTTTCGGTGTAACCATAAACATTGATTTAAATTAGATAAAATTATGCATAACACTTGACAAGATATATTGATTCTTCTTTACACGGATTTATTCCGATATTGCGAGAAATCTACATGTTCAAGACAAGAACTTGGATATCAACTGGTGCCATTGGAAATATTAGCGACGGAACTCGACCAAAGGTGCATGATGGGACCATGGCAAGGTCAAACACAGAAGTAATCTCAACAGTTCGCCATTCACACCTCAGCGAAAGATCATCTTGCAGAAAATCAAAATGGCGAAGACTGGTTTCTGTTAAACCTCCCGACTCGTGAAGATGCCCAGATGTCTCACCTCATCAGAGTTGGGCAATCTCTTCATCATTTATGTACACCATGTTTTACGCGAATTCCGAAAATAACTTTTACCTAGACGACCATGTGTCTAGCGTTCTTGCCGCCTCTGAAATCTTGACCTCAACATGGATTACAATTCCATCCTTCCTATAACAATTTTGACAAGCTTTTAATTGAATATAAGAAACAGTTTTTTTCCAACTCATAGCAATCGCTCGTGTTTGCCCGCATCGAAGAGAGCAGCGGGTCACAGCGAATGAGAGAAGAAACCGGAAATACCAGAAAAAAACAACACGGGGTCCAACAGGTGACCTAATACCTTTTCATGTCCGATCATGGAATCAAACCCCTGCCGTCTTGGTGAAAGGCGAGTGCGATATTCACTACACCAGCTTCACATGCCCCCCCTCCCCCAGCACTGTTGAACATTTCAATCGTTTACCCGATTGGTCTTAATACCGAGCCTAAGAGACACAGACTCTTTCCGTGGAAGAAAGACAACGGACAGCAAAAAATACCAGACTTGTTTAAAGATGTTCTTTCTAAGACTAATAAGTACCCTGACACTATATGCCAAAACGATTCGTTTTAACATGCTCCACCCAATCCTTCAAGTTGATCTTCTTCAAGCAAGCGGCCGTTTGAGGAACGTTGATTGTCTCTCTCCATACAAGCATCCGATAATCCTGTCACGTCATGTAAATGATTCTTGCAATACATTAGGGATGGGGTTTGACTACTCAGCAAGTTGTGTCTTGTACCGGCGGGTTTTGGACATCCCGTTGTTCTTGGTCAGACAGGAAAGGGCATAGACATCAGCATCACATTCGCAACGGAACCGTTGATCTTTTTAACGACTTGGATGATCCGCACGATCAGAAGCCACTTGCTTAGCATGTGGAAGCTAACGCAGCTGACGTTAGATTTGCTAAAGGAGCAGTAACGATCCTAGCTAAAACGTGCTGTCTACAAACTAGAAAGCTTCGGAAACTTTGTTGACATATGGAGCTATATTATAATGTTGTGTTGGACTAAATACCATGTTTTGGATAGCGACAACTTATGTGCATAGATACGTTTATTTTAAAGCTAACATAAGCACTTCTAGGTAATGTGTTGACTATGCTGATTGGAAAGTAAATATCAGCGTGTCGATCGTAAAACATAACCTTGCTTATATTGTTAAAAGTGACATTTTACAAAGCGTTTGTAAAGGAGTTAGTATGTTTCGTTTTCCCTTTTTTCCTTGGAAAAAGGATGAAAGCGCCAAGAGGAGAGCAATTTTCTAATTTATTTTTGACTTGATAAATATAAAACAAAACCACACGACATAGTTCATATGCTAGTGGTTGATGACACTAACCTGAACTAGTTTTGTATCTATCTGTGACATTGCTAACAACATGGGGGGTTCGCTAAATAATGAGTTCCACTTGCACAAACTGTTCATTGTTAAACTTCGAAATCTGTGCCATAGTGATTTTGATAATATGAGATTTGAAGAAACCCACATATCAAAGATTTAGATTATAAATGCGGTTAAAAACGGCATACCCAACCCTTATTCCAACGGCTTCTCATGGTGTAAATATTATGTTCAATGCAACGAAAGGATCGCAATTTAGCTCCTGGACTATTGTTTCTGAACCGTGAGACAATGTAACAAGTTCTGTTCATTACACAAGAGGTAATTAATCAGTTTTGACAGAACTTTAGGAGATACTGTTTTTTCCCTATATCCCTGTGATTAAGAAAGATGTACTGTACCTATAATGTTTCGCGACAAATTCAAGTCCTTTTTATACAATGTATTAATTCTATGTCCCTAATCAAATTCCATGTTCTGCGCAATCGTTCCGAAACATTTCACTAGTTCCTTAACTTATTAACAACCCATATTTTATTTCTATTACCCTCCAGTCCACATAACTAACAACGCAACAAAATAACAACTGCATTGTCAGGCTCAGTTGAGATAAGCACATCTTCCTTTTGTGCAAAACTCGTATTTTGTAAGAACTATGTAATTGACCAATCGAGAAACAGCTCAGCTTTCAGTCCGCAATGTACGAGTCAAATGATGTAATGGGACTCTCAACTACACGGAGAAAATCCTAAACGATTTCAAATAAATGGCTCTAAACGATTTCAAATAAACTAGCTGATTTGATTTTTTAAGTAACCGTATTCAGTATAGTTTTTCACTAGTAACAAATATACTAACAATGCGCAGTTTTGCTTATATTTGACCATTGTGACGGTGGACGGAGGAGGATTTAGGCCGATTGACTGGTGAGATTCGCACTAAGCCATGTTTTCAAGGTTTCTCGTGCCCTTTCACACTAGCTGGTGGCGCTACAGAGCCTAGGGAGTACCGAGGCTAGAATGTTCCAAGGCAAACAAAATTAATTAAATTTCAATTCAATTTATCACACATCAAGCCGAATATTGCAGAAATAATAATGAAAGGTAGAACCATTATTGGAAATCTCGTTTGATCACTAAAGTAGAGAGTTGATAGCGTCAGGGACAATTCTATACGTCCGGAGCTGATATACGGGACCTTACGAATCAACTACACAACCGAGCTAGACAGGCGTGCCGTTATCCCAGTGATGGCTTCACGCTTTATAGAGTGACTGCATGTTGGCAAGCGGATTACCTAGTCTAGCGTGGAAATTTCCCATTAAAACCGGGGTTTCCGTGTCTGTAGGCAGCATTTACATATAAACGGCTCAGTTACCAGATATCAGCAGAAACACCTGACGAAGCCGAGAGATTCCAGGTTTGTGTAAATATCCGAGTCGTTTCAATCTGAATAAAATACAACATACTAAATAAGATACAAATACAACCTGTAAGTCTTAAGCATAACAGACAAGTGTAAAGTTAAACGGACGAGTGAAAAGTAAAACTGATGAATGTAATCTGTAAGTTAAGAGGTCGAAAATCGCTATTGGGGAGGGAACCGTATCTAAAACTAGCATAAAAAACATGAATGAACCACATGTTAAACCAATTGTTATGTGGAGAAATCGCATCTTAATTAAACATCAGCCAAGGAAGGGTTACCAAATCATATACACGTGAATGTATTCAAGATTAGAGAACTTCACCAAAAACGATTAAGCAATGTCAGGAATGTTATCAAGATCTCTTCACTCGGATTTAAACCAGTCAGATTTAAATACAAAAGCAAAGGCTATAATCCCAATAAAACGTTCCAAATGTAAGTGTTGCACAATGTCCTTGATTGTGATGTCAGAATTGGAGTCCGACGTCCTAAACTGAGGTCCTGCTCTAATATGGAACTGGATTAGAGGTTCAGAAACACTAAGCTTGTTTAGCTTGTCGATTTTGCATGTATAGGACATGTATTTAAGAGCCACCCGTTGTTTTTTGTATGTATTGCTACTGCTGATTGTCGATACAGCCGAAGTATTTCGTGTCAGACAGCACAACCTATCGTTTTCTAGAGGCATGGATGATGAGCCTATTGCTGGGACAGATTAGGGGATGATTGACATGTTAACTGTTTGGAGATATTGCTTGGTTTTGTTCAACGTTTGCTAGGTTCTGCGTCAGAGCTAAAACGTATGCAGCATCTGTTTACTC